TCACTGGGTCTCACCCAAGGCATCTGGCCCATCCCAGCCCACCTAGATATGTAACAGTCTTTCCACAGTCCTCTTGACTCACCCCAGATCACTTAACTCCTTTCACTGTATCAGCTGGGCCACCCCAGGCTATTTACCACTCCTTAATCCCATCCAGATCTTCTCACAGTCTTTTTTTTTTTGTATATAAATATCAATCCCACCCCATCAAGGCACAGATTCATTAGGAATCTAGCCCACTTTATTGGTGTTACAATAAACCTGGCCACTTTGACTGAAAGAAAGCTTGAGTGCTTGAATTCTTTCCAGGCAGACCCCCCTCTAGCCTGACATTTTGGGGTTCCCAGCAATCCCAAACCACATCACTGGGGTTCCCAGCAACCCCAAACTGCATTATCTCCTTTGCCTCCCAACACTCTCACTTATATCATAATTATTTCTTGTTACACACACACACACACACACACACACACACACACATTTTTCCCCCAAGAGAACTGGTTGCTAAACATTTACTAATACACCTGTGGATATAATCCCTGAGGGGCTGTTAATAATCTTTGAAAAACTATGAGAATGAAAGAAATACTCAAATTCTCAAAATATTTCAAAGAAATATTGTCTCAAGTTTCAATATAGGGAGGAGAGTGTAGTCTTTGAAGTATATAGACTGTTGAGTTTGACTTTGACTCCCAGAAAATTTCTATAATATAACTATTTTTTAAAACTTTATTTTTTGATATTACGAACTTGACAAATTCCAGCAAACACAAGCACTTCTGCATGCAAAAAATAGAAAGAGGATTGCACAAGACATTGTGAATCTCTACCATATACAGCTTGCCTCCTTTTTTTCCTGGTTTTCTAGCCAAGCCTGGGATATTTTGCATAAAATTTTCCCATTGTTGGAGACAATGTTTAATCAGGAGCTTTGGAGAAGAGAGATGGTCTTTTTCTTTTAAGACAGAGAATATGTTTTGTTCTAGTTTCTCTCTGGGACTAACTCCAGACACATGCTAGTTAACACTAAATGTTAGAGGGAATATACAAACAGATCTCAATAGGCTAAAATGATGGGTCAAATCTAATAAGAGAAAATTTAACATTTGTTTAAAAAAGTTGAGTTTGAAAAAAAAATGTTAAGTTCCAAAATCTCTGCCTCCCTCTCACTCTCCTCCAATCACTGAGAAGTCAAACATGGTATCGCTTTAGCTGTGCAAAACATATTTCCATATTAACCATATTGAAAAAAAAAGAATAAAAAGCAAGAAACAAAAAGAGAATAAAAAAAGTAGGTTTCAATCTGCACTCAGTGCATTTTTCATATGATGAAGTTTAAGAGGGATGAATGAAGGCCCACATGCTTGAGTTGAAAATTTTAACTTCACAAGAGCGGAATGGGGGAGATATGGTTAGATGACAGCTGATATAAAAATAATCTGGTTATTTTAGTGGACAAATCTCAATATTTATTGCAAATCTTAAATATCATTATAACCTGACAGCCAAACCTATTCATGTGATTCTGTTCAAATCAATTCATTACTCTGTCAAATGTGTATGTTGCAACCCTCTGAGCTAGGTGGCTCATATGCAGAAGTGTTGGCTTCTCAGATGGCTCAGCCATACCCCAGCCCACTTATTATTAAAGATGTCTTTGGACCTTCCCCCCATCTTCCCTCAACCCCCACATCCTCAGGTGCTCCCTGAAAGAAAGCCCCTCCCTCCTTGCCATCTTTTCTCAAACTATCTACACAATTATCTCCTGCCCTTCACTTTATACCCCCCAAATAGGACTTCGCCTCTCCAGCCCTCCCTGCCCAATTTCTACCCATCCTTACAGGGCAGTCTCAAATACCATCTGTGTGAAGTCTGTCATCCTCCTCCAATCCTCAAGCTGAAAGTTCTCACTCTCACCTCCATCTAGCAGAAAACTTTGTTACCTTTAAATTGTACCTGAGGCATTAGGCCAGGTTTTATAGTTACGTCCCCATTTTATAGCTCTCCTATAGGCTCTCAGAGGACTCTTAGACCATGCCTTGTTCTATGTATTTCCCACACAGCCTAAGATAGCTCCTTATACAAAATAGGCCCTCAGGTTTTAGTTTAGTGAGTAAATTAATATTCTTACCTGTTTTCAACTCAGTCCTGACCCTCCTCACATTCACCCCATCCTGGCTTGTTCCTCTACTAGCCCTTTTTACTTTGCCCTTTGGGACCTTTGTTGTGAATAATCTCTCTACTACTCTCAACAGGAGGGTATTTTTATCTTCTCTTTTTTTATTGAATCCTGGATTTCCCTGACAACATTTAAAAAAACATTTTATTGATGCCATTTGTTTTATAGTGTAACACACAATGACCACTCTTACCACTGAACCTTCCCTTGGAACAAAGAAAACCATGTAAGCAAAAGCAGTGGACAGAGTGGTAGCATCATTTGACCAAAAAGTGACTTCTAATGCCAAACCTGATGGTAAGCCTTGTGAAGATACAGAGACAAACAAAACAGCTCCTGCCCTTGAGGAACTTATATGCTACCAGGGGTGATGACATGTATACACACACACACAAAATATGCATATACATACATACATATATGTATATGTGTGTATATAGGCAGCTAGGTGATATCGTGGATTAAATGTTGTACCTACAGTCAGGAAGACCTGAATTCAAATCCAGCCTCAGATGCTTCCTAGCTATGTGACCCTGAGCAAGTCACTTAACCTCTTTTTGTTTCAGTTTCCTCATCTGTACAATGGGGATAATGATAGCACCTACCTTACAGGGTTGTTGTGAGAATTAAATAAGATAATAATTTTAAAGCACTTAACACAGTGCTTGGAACATAGTAGGGGTTATATAAATATTAGCTATTATTATTATTATTACTTAGACAGCTAGGTGGTACAGTAGATTGAATGCTGAACCTGGAATCAGAAAGACCTGAGCTAAATACTGCCTTAGACACAGTAGCTTTGTGACCCTGGGCAAATCACTTCACTTCTAATAACACTTACCTCCCAGGGCTGTTGTGAGCATAAAATGAGATAATTTTTGTAAAGTCCTTTGAAAACTTTAAAGCATTATATAAATGCTAGCTATTACTATTATTACTTTTATACAGATTAAATACAAGGTAATTTGAGGGGAGCAAGGGAGTCACTAGCAGCTGGTGAGATCAGAAGGTGGTACTTGAGATGAACTTTAAAGGAAACTAGTGATTCTAAGACATAAAAGTGAGGAGTGCATTCCAGGCATGGGTGATAGGCTGTGTAAGGGCACAGATATGAAATTTGGTTAAACCTTGTACTTTCCCACTCTTGCTATCTTTTTGCACTCACTGAAACCTGCGCCCTTGCTGATGACACTGCTTCCTTACCTACTTTTTCAGCACTGGTTGCCTTCTCATCGTATTTGTTATATCATCCCCACCCCTTCCTGATTATGGTGGGGGAGTTGAACTACAACTTACTCTCCTTTGCCATGTCTAGGTGCTCTCTCTTTCTCTCCTTCCACCCCCCAAAGCCTCACAAGCTGTTGTCCCTTATCTGTTCTCCCATTTGTGGCTGAACTTCAAAGGCATCTACAGTGAGTGCCTCTGCTTACTTTCCGGTCTCTTAACTTTCTGCAGTCCAGCTTCCCACCTAGTCATTCAACTAAAACTGTCTCTTCACTCAACTTCACTCTCACCTTCCACATTCAATCAGTTGACAAATCCTGTCAGTTCTAGCTTTGTGATGTCTCTTGTATATACTCCTCTTCCCTGACACTGCCACTAGCCTGGGGAAAGCTATTACCTCATGTCTGGACTATAGCAATGACTTGCTGATTGGTTCCCCTAGATCTTCCTAAAGCAAAAGTCTGACTCTCTCTCATGTATGCACTCATGCACACACTCAGCATATCATTGCAGTTAATATAAGTTCTGAGTGGCTTTTAGTGTTTTTTTACATTTATATTATTAGAGTGTTTATTGTTCTGTTTCTGCTTATTTGCTCTGCATGAGTTTCTATGTCTTCTCATATTTCTCTGAATCACTATTTGTCATTGCCTAAGACATTAAATTTACATAACACAATCTGTTTAGCTACTCCCCGATTGGCACCTACTTTGTTTCCAGTTTTTTTGCTATCACAAAAAGTGCTAGTATGAATACTTTGTTGCTTCTGTTCTCCTGGACTGAGTTTGGCCATTATAATTATCAGTGTGACTGACTTTTAGTTTTGTCTTAATTTACATTATCATAGTTATTTGCATTCTGGTTCTGCTTACTTCAGAGCATCAATTCATACAAGCTTTTACCATGTTTCTCTGAATTCCTCCCATTCATTATTTCTTATAGTACAATAACATTACATTACATTCAAATACCACAGTTCAGTGGTTCTTCAAGAAGTAGAATGGGTGCCTACTCTAATTCCTTGTCATTACATCTGTTTGAGTTTATCTCACAAATACAATATAAGAAACATGAAATAAAAGCTTTAACTTTTCTTCTTGGCTGAACTAATTCTTTCAGAAGCTGCTGAGAGATAAAGAAATACCCTAAAAGTTGTTGCATAAACAATATTATAGGCCTTTTGCAGATTTCAAATAGAATGTCTGCACTGGATAGTATGTACAATGTGTGTATACATTATTTCTATGTGTGTAGATATAAGTATATAAATATAAAATTGCAGTATCCTTTTTGCTTCAGCATTTTTGTATTTGTCATCCTTGTATTTCTGGGCTACAAGGTCCCTAGTCCAAACTCTCAAAGGGCCACAGTTGGACAGATAATAGTCATTTGCACAGAGCAGTGGGGACCCTTAACTCTAAGGATGTAAAGATGACCAAGAAGAGGTTGTGGTTGTATTACAGACTGCAGCCCAAAGCCTTGAATAAGACAGGCTTCAGAAATTTCAACCCTAAGTCTAACTGTTCCTGTCTTGGTCAATCATTGTCTTAGGAACCCTGAAAAGTGGGAACATTAATAACATGTCACCAACATATATCAAAAATGGAACTTTTATTCTAAACAAGGGGAAAAGGAAAGAGGCAGTGTGGTGTAAGGATAGAGAGCTGATTTTGGAGGTTAGGGAGACCTGGGTTCATGTCCCACCTCTGACACCTAGTGGCTGTATGGCCCCAGGGAAGTCACTTAACCTCTCAGTGCCCTAGGTGATTCTGTAAGAATACTGTGGCACAGAAGGTTCCCATATACAGGCAAACAAAGTTCCTCATCAAGAGTTTCCTACATTGGTGAAATCACAGGTCCCCCCTCCCTTATTAAAAATAAGGTGGACAGAGCCAAATATCCCTCTCATGTTGCTGTCATCCCATAAGCTGATCCATGGATGTTGGTAGCCATGTAACCACCAATAGTTGTCTTGGAACCTGGAAGTACTTGGCAGAATTATAGCAGCTGTTTTCTTAGCTTTGACCTTTTAATTAGACACCCAGATGGTTGTTTCTATAACTTTCAAAATAATTTTGATAAAACATATCTATGCACAACAGACTTTCACTTTTCTGATGTGCTGGCAGATTTACCATATAACCATTTATTTAGAAAGCATTTGTTACCAAATAGCAGGCAATAGAAAGGAGAGAATAACAACCCCTGCAGCCTCTGAAAATTAGCTCCCCAAATGCAGAAAATGCTGGATCTTGAACACAGGTTTTGCGACTCTTAAGATTACTCAACAGCCCCTTCTCTCTAGAGCAGGCCTGTAGGATGTACGTCATGCCAAAGTGGCCCAGGGGCCAGATGTTGTGCAGGTTTGTTTTACATTCTCTACATTTTTTGAGGACCCCAAATCCTTTGGGAGGCACAAGTGGCCCTATGTTGTGCAGTTAGTTTTGCTAAGGGATTTGCATTTCAGGACCCTTGAAATCCTTTGGCAGCTGCAGTGTTGTGCAGGCCTGCTCTAGAGCTTGATCATTGCAGTTACAATTCTTCTGACTACTCTACTCTAATACACTGAGTTCTCCCTCTGAAGTCTAGCACTTACTGTCCCATAATTCAGCTATCAAGTGACTATATACTGCCTATGATTGTTTGTTTCACATGTTAAGAACATCTGGAGGGCATGTTTTTACCTCCTATTCACATACATATAAACACACACACCCCAGGTCCATAATAGGTATTCAATAAACACCTATGAAATTGATCCATGATTCCTTCAACAAGTATTGGACAGCTCATATTACAATTTATGATGTTTTCCTCACTGTACCTTAGTTGGTGGGTAGTATGAATAGGATTTGCATTTTCCAATGGGGAAACTGAGGCCAAAAGAGATTGAGTGACTTGCTCAAGGTCACTTAACCAGTAAATAGAAGATTCAGGATTTAAACCCAATTTTTTCTGACCTCTGAGCTCTGTGTTCTTTCCACTGTACCAAGAAATACAGCACGTGGTCTACCATCTAGGAATTTACAATACAATATGGGAAATGAAATGTCCAAAAGCATATATGGGAAGTTAAATAATGTGAAACAGTGTGCATAGTTAAGCCAAATAAATCATCCCAATAACATGAGTTCAGAGCAAGGGGAAATATTTCTTGCCTAGAGTACTTAGGGAAGCTTTATGGAAAGGTGGGATTTGAGCTGGGCTTTGAAGCCATGGAATCATTCATTCAACAAACATTTAATAAGCACCTACTTTATACAAAGTACTGTACTAGGAGCTAGGGGTGTAAGGACAAAAATAAAATTGTTTCTGTCTTCAAGGGCTTAAATTCTACTGGTGGTGGGGAGGAGAAAGAGGATACCCTGTGTGATAAATAAATACAAGATAATTTGAGAAGGGAGAAACAATTGACTGGGTAAATTAAGGAAATTTCACTAAGAAAATAATGGATAAGCTGAACTTTGAAGGAATATTAAACATTCTGGTAAAAAGAGATGAGGAGGGAGTATGTCTTAATTGGGTAGGATAGTTTGAGCTAAAATGAAGATAAGAGATGGAATTCCAAGTTTGAAGGACAGGAAGGAGTCTGGTTAGGTTGGAATATAGGGTACATGAATGGGCACAATTTGAAATAAAGCTGAAAAGGGAGATCAGAGCCAGCTTGTAGAGGGCTTTCAACACTAGGCTGAGTTTGTATTTTATTCTAAAGGCAACAGAGAGGCACTGTAAGCTTTTGAGCAGGGAGTGACTCTGCCAGACCCTTATTTGCTTTAGGAAGATTATTTTAGCATCTGTGTGGAGGAGAAATTGAAGAACAGAAAGAGAACAAGCAAGACTAACGATGAATCTGGTACAACAGACTGAGAGGTGATGAGAACCTGACAAAGGAGACACTTTGGATGGATTGTGGCAGGACTGAATGGTGTAAGAAAATGTGGCCAAGAAGGAACGCACTGATGTGGGAAGGGGACAGTAAATAGACCAATCTCATTGGAGCAGAGAGGGTCCATATTGAGGAATAACTGATATTTAGTTATTTCAGTCTCAAAACAACTCGATGAGGTAGATACTACAGATATTGCTATGCACATTTTTACAAAGGAGAAGAGTCATCGGGGTTAAGTAACCCTACAGCCACAAAGCTAGTAAATGCCAAAAGGGAAATTTGTATTCAGGTATCTCTGATTTCAAGTGCAAGAATGAAATCTAGTTGCTACAGTAATCCAGGATGAGAATATTTGATTGTTCCTCTAAAATTAGACTTGAACCAAGACTCGGTCAATTATCTTTTTTTTTTTCCAGCCATACTCTCATTCATTCCTTCATTCCAAATATTCTTTCTTATTTCAAATCCTGATACTCCTACACACTACTTAATTTCTCTTACTATTTTTCAGATCCACACACCAGATTGCTCCACTGAGTTTGGGAGCACTGATAAAGATATGGCCAGGTACCTGTTCTATGCCCCATACATCTATGTGTCTGAGATCCTTGATGGCAGGGGGCACATGGTATATGTCTTTCTTTCCCCTATAGTGCCACACACAGTACCTTATAGGGGCTCAATAAATATCATTAACTAACTGATTAAAAAGAAAGAGGACAGCATCAAAAACAACCCTGGGATTTTGAACCCAAGTAACTAGGAGGATGTTGGGTGCAATTTGGAAATGAGGAAGCTGGGAAAGAAAACCATGGGGGGAAATGATTAGTTCAGTTCTAAGGTTGATTTGTAATCACTCTCTACACCCTGCTCCTCTCCCTTCCCTATCTTTTACCTATTTCCCTACAGACCAGATAGACTTCTGGGTTCTCTAACAAAAACAAAAGTGGAAAAGGGAAGCCAGTTCTTGAAAGACATCATCCTCCAACCTAGGTATGCAGGAACTTGGTGCCCCAATTTCCTGTCCACATTTCCAGATTTCCAAGTCAATATAAAGTTAATATTGACTGAGGCAGAGCATGGGTAAGGGCGAAAAGGCATATATGCTAAGTTATGAGGATCAATGCAATAAAAGTCCCCTTGGCTTAAAGGCATTTACTGGGCTCTTCCGTAGTTACTCCTCTAATCATAAATACAGTTAAAAAGTTAACAATAATTGAATATTATTTTGGCCCATCCCCATAGAGACTTAGAGAGTTAAACTGTGGCCCTGGGAGTGGCCTCTGAGGCACAACAAGAAGTAGAGGCACAATGTGAGTTGAACAATTTTTAAAAATAATTTTTGAAAGATCTCACTCATAAGACTCTGCTTTTGTGTGAATTCTCCGATGGTGAATAAGATTGGAGCTATGATTAAAAGCTTTTCCGCATTCACTACATTCATATGGTTTCTCCCCAGTATGAATTCGCTGATGTTCAATAAGTTGTGTTCTCTGCCTGAAGGCTTTCCCACATTCATTACATTCATACGGTTTCTCTCCAGTGTGAATTCTATGATGTTGAATAAGTGTGGATCGTGCACTGAAGGCTTTGCCACATTCACCACATTCATAAGGTTTCTCTCCAGTATGAATTCTGTGGTGTTGAATGAGATGTGCATTTTGACTGAAGGCTCTTCCACATTCATTACATTCATAAGGTTTCCTTCTATTACGTATTATTTGGTGTTGAAAGTTATGTGTTCTCTGATGTTGACGAAGGTGTGAGCTCTGTCTGAAGGCTTTCCCACATTCACTACATTCATAAGGTTTCTCTCCATTATGTGTTCTCTGATGTTGAATAAGGTTAGTGCTCTGCCTGAAGGCTTTCCCACATTCATCACATACATAGGGTTTTTCTCCAGTATGAATTCTCTGATGTTGACTAAGGTTTGAGCTCTGGACAAAGGCTCTTCCACATTCATTGCATACATAGGGTTTTTCTCCAGTATGAATTCTGTGGTGTTCAATAAGGATTGAGCGTTCACTGAAGGCTTTTCCACACTCATTGCATTCATAGGGTTTTTCTCCATGGCATTTTCTGTAATGTCGAATCAGGTTAGAGCTCTGAATGAAAGCTTTCCCACATTCACTACATGCATAGGGTTTCTCTCCAGTATGAATTCTCTGATGCTGAATTAGGTTAGAAATCTGAATGAAAGCTTTCCCACATTCATTACACTCATAGGGCTTCTCTCCAGTATGATATCTTTGATGTCTAATAAGGTCTGAACTCCCTTTGAAAGCTTTCCCACATTCATTACATTCATGAGGTTTCCCTCCAGAACGAATTCTCTGATGTATATTAAAGGTTGAATTACAGTCGAAGAAGTTTCCAGAATCATTATATTTACATGGCTTTTCAGATATATTGTTAACATGTGAATTATGTTTGAAGTTTTGATCATATGTATCACATTGATGGAATTCCTCTCTTATAGGAAATCCTTTGTATGAAACAGTGTTTGAATTCAGATTGCAGTTTCTTCCACATTTGTCATGCTTCTGCCCTCCCTCTACTATGGAGATTTTCTCCTGGATGATTAACATTGGCCTGAAACTATTCTCTTTCGAAAGAGATCTCTTCAATCTCTCCAAAGTGTGGCTTCCTTCATCCCTCCATAATATGGCCTCACTTTCCCAGGCTTCTCCAAGCCTCAGTCCCTTGGAAACATTTCTTGTGATTTTTTGTGCTCTCAGCCATTGTGATCCCATTTCTTCTGAAATTTCATTCTTTAGAGACAGTTCTATGTTCTGAGTCTTGGCTGCACAATCTGAAATGACAAAATCAAAAGGTAAATGTCACCTGTTTTTTATTCTGGGACAAAGAAAAGTATTGGGTTAGGAAGATGAAAATCTACATTAAAAATTATTTCCTAAGAGTATGTGCTATTGAAATATTCTGGGATCAGTCTCATAGTAGGAGAAGACAGCAAGGAGTACATTGACCTTAGAAGAAAAGGTAACCCCAGAAAAAGAAGAGAGCTCAGGATGGAAGGAGTTGAGAAATGAGAGATGGTGAGAGGCAGAAAATAAGCTAAGTAGTGGTAGAAACAGTGGTCACAGAGCACAAAAGTGATCCTAGAGGTTGAGAAGAGTCCATGGAATAGGAATAGGAATGGGTCAGTGATAAATTTCTTGTGTGAAGTAAGATGCTGAGGTAGAGACTAGTAGCTTAGAATTTCCTTGGACAAATGAACCTTTGAGCTCTTGGTGGACTCAATTATCTACTATTAGTATACATACGGCAAGAAAAACAGCAGTACAGGGGAAGGGCATGAAACCTAGAAGGTAGGGACCTAGGAACAACTATTCCAAAAGAGAGGGATGAGACAATGGATCTATGAAGAGGCTAAGAAAGACCAGGTCTGGCCTTTCCTGAAGCCCAATAAACACCATGGATAACTATTATTTAATAATTTAAAGACTTCTTATAATTTTAAACTTTACTTACTGATTAAATACTCAACCTTTTCCATGTAGTTACTAGTAGTGACAGCTCTTAGAAGATCTCAAGAGGGCTTTGTGTTTGCTTCAAGAAGAGACAGGTGGGGTGAAGATTGTATGAAACCAAATTCCATTCCATAAGGGCTTAGAAGGAGAATAGGTGGTTAGCAGTCAGAAGACACCAAGTTAACCCATCCTTGGGTGCCTTGGGAAAAAAGAAAAGGATTGTGGGGGTTTGACCCAGGACTGAGACAAGTCTCCAGGGGTTTTAATGGGCAAGAGGCCCATATTCTAATAAAAATGACCAAGAAAACAGACTTAGTGAGGAGGAAATGAGCAAATCTCAGAGGTGGAAGGTGGGAAAGGTAGAGGTAGGGAGTTAACCAAGAGCCTGGGATATGAGTATTCAAGTACTGCCAGGTGACTGGGAAAGGTTCTGTTTTAGTTTGAGGGCAGAAGAAGGGAGAATCTATACAAAATTCTCTTATTCAGTGGAACTCTTCAATCTAAAAGTTATGGCTTTCTTCCTTTTCCATAATCCCATTCTACCATGGATAAGCTATAACATTTTCATTTCATCAAAAGAGCTAACATGCAAAGCACATATAAATTCTGGCTAGTTATTAATTTCATTTAAATAGTTTTTAAGCAATAATAATAATAATAATAATAATAATAATAATAATAATAACAATAGCTAGCATGTATATAGCACTTTAAGATCTACAAAGCACTTAACAAATATTGTTATCTCATTTTACCCTTACAACAACCCTGGGATTATTATTTTCATTTTACAGAGGAAGAAACTAAGGCATACAGAGATTAAGAGACTTGCCCAGCATCACACAGTTAGTGTCAGAAGCAGAATTTAAACTCAAGTCTTCATGATTCCAAGTCCAGGTGCTCTATTCATTGTGCTTCATGCTAATAGTGCTAGGCACGATGCAGGAGGTGAGAGGGATACAAAAACAGATATGACATGGACCCTACTATAAAAGCTTACATCACAGTGGGAAAAAATATATGTACACAAATAACTATGATAAAAGGGATATGTATTAATATATGTATTATATATGTAATACATATGTGTAATATGTGTATTAGTATAATATTAATAAATGTATTAAATGCAAAAATTATGAGAAATGTGAGAAGGCAGTTCCAAGCAAGTGTATGAAAAAGGTGAAGAGGGAGAGATTATTTTTATTTGGGGGAAGGTCACATAGAGTTCAGTCTTGAAGGAAATGAGAGACCTCAATGGAGACAGGAATATCGGGGAGTCCATTCTAGGCATGAGCACAGGCAAAGAAATGGAAGAGATTCCAATTTGCCTGGATCATAAAAGACATGGAAGGGAGCAATATGAGGTTGGAAGGGCGGACCGGAGCTAGACTGTGGAGGGCCTGAAATGACAGAATGAAGAATTTATACTTTATTCTGCAGACAACGGGGAACCACTGAAAGTTGTTAGCTAGAGGAATGGCATGATTATAGAAGCCAGCTAGGAAGATGACTCAGGTATCAGTGAGAAAAACAAGGATGGAAATGAGAAAAACGTACCAGAAATACCCATTAGGAAGCTATTACAATAGTCAAGGAGAGGAGAGATAAGTTGCTAAATAAGCTGTAGTGGAGATTTTAAAGGTTGGGTCAGTCCAGATACAGACTGAACAAAACTTGGCATGCTTATCAATTTCCTGGATGATTAAAAATCAAAACAAAACCAGGTGGGAAACATAATATGTTAGATGATAGAATCAGTATATGGAAAGTTTGTGCTAGACTGGAATGACAAATCAAATCAAATCACATGGAATTCATTAAGGATAAATATAAAGCCCTGATTTTGCATTTCAAAAAATGAATTGTACAAGTACAGAATGAAAAAGAGATGACTAGGGAATAGTTTTATAAATAGGGATTTTGATTGACTAAAGGCTCAGTGTGCCTCAACAGTCCTCTAGTCTCACAACCTAGGTGTCATCCTCGACTCATCATTCTCTCCCGCTCCCCACACCCAATCTGTTGCCAAGGCCTGCTGATTTTTACCTTCAGAACATCTCTCAAATATGCCCTTTCCCTACTCTGCCATTGCCACTGGCTTGGTGCAGGCCCTCATCACTCACACCTGGACTCCTGAAACAGCTTGCTGGATAATCTCCCTGCTACATTCAGTTCTGGGCTCCCCACAAGGAAAGATGCCAGAGCAAAGAAGCCAGAAACAAGGAACCAGCACCTGACACAAGCATGAGAAGAACAGAGAAAGGAAGAGATAAAAAAGATAGCTGGACATCTGGATTTCTGCAGACTTGGCAAGTTATAGCAGAGTAAAGCTGATTACTTTTTGCATAAGGGCTTTAGAATATACTAAATACACTAAGTGCAAATGCTACCAAAAGAGAGCTAGAAAGCACTGTGCCGTTCTAGGTTTTGGAGTTGAAAGAGACTTCAGAAATCAGCTAGTCTGCCTGGCTTTGAGAGGCTGAGGTGACTTGCTTGGAGTACAAGAGGTTGTAAGGAGCAGAGGCCAGATTTGAACACAGGCTCCCTGACTCCAAGTTCAATGTTCTTTCTCCATCATGCAAATTAGCAGGACTGTGAACTTGTGACCAGGAAATGATAGGCCTTATGTGCCCACTTGAGGGTTTCAGAACTGCTGCAGATCAAAGGTAGGGACATTAGAGGGTGTGGGACTAATGCATATTTTTACTATGGTGTCCAAAGACCAACAGAGTAAAGACTCTTACTCACCTGAGCAGCTGCCTCTCAAAATCTCTCTCTTTTCTGCCCTCTGCTGCATGTTGAGAACCCATGGCTCTTCCCCTCGCTCTAGCTGGGAGATCACGTCAGGTTTGGACACTGGAAATCCTGCTTACACAGAAGGAAACATGATCTGGTGGTTTATGATGGGTACATGAAATAGTCCTAACTCACTGGGTCTGCAGGGAAGAGGAGGGAAAAGGGAAGTATCCAGAGAGGCCATGACAGGAAGGCTCAAGGAAAGCCTGTCTGTCTTCTGGAAAGGTATCATAATTGTGCTATCCTGGGCAGAAGAGTTGGCAATCTTGCTAGGGAAAAGCAATTATCTCAAGTGTCCTTGGCCTACCACAAAGGTACAACAGTCCTACCTATTGGAACATTTGTACTGAACCCTGGGGGAAGAATGCTGGGGTTTCAGGCATCAAGGAGAGGGAAGATTCAAACTCAGAGAGAGGTTGAGGGTCCAGGGGCCCAGGAACTTAAGAGGAAAAACTCTCTGTCTCTGAACTTGGATGAGATTAGGGATATCTGCTCCCTGAATTCCACGCCCAAACCCAAATAAGCCCTTCAGAGCTCATGACTATTCACAAGGCAGGAAGCCAAGAAGCTTAGGTATGGGCCTAGGTGAGTAGGGGGAAGGAGAGACTTTACCCAGTGAGACCAGGTTCCCATAATTCTCCAGCATCACGTCCTTATAGAGACCTCTCTGAGCAGGGCCCAGGCAGCCCCACTCCTCTTGGGTGAGGTACACGGCCACATCTTCAAACATCATAGACACCTGAAACAACACAGTCCTATTGTAGGCCTAGGTGAAGTCCCAGGGCTCAGACACAAGGCGGGCAGGCATAGCAGTTTGTGGAGAAGGAAAGGTGTAAATAGTCCAAGTATGTATTTGTATGTGTGCAGGGGCATGCAGTTGAGCCTGCAAGACCAGCAGAGATTTTGTGTGCATCAAGGCTCTCAGTATATGTATGTAGGCATGCATGCATGCATGTATATGTGCACACATGTGTGTGCCTACATGTATGTGTGAGTGTCCACATGCTCTCAGCTCACCAGGCGTGAGAACGAATGGGAATCCCCAGGGAAACTTTCTAAGACCCATTTCCAGAAAAGAACTCTCTGGTTTTGAGAATCTGAAAGAGTAAGGGTCCCAGCCACACCTTTCCCTCTCTCTAAATGAAATGATATTTAGAGGTCACCAAGAGACCTTGACTGTTCCAAGCACGAGAGGAGAAACTTAGCTCAGCAGGCTGCCAGGAATGTGGGTTGGAGCTGGCATTCAATGACACTGCAGCCTAGGGGCCAGGAGAGAAGGGGCCTGAAAAGTGACCTCCTCCTCACCCCCTCCCAAACAGGGACCAAGAACACAGAGCTGGGAGCCCTAGAGGTCACAGGGCCTCTGTCTGCAAACTCTATTGGAACTGGAGAGTGCGGAGACTCAGAGGAAAGAAATCACAGAATGATAAAGCTGGAAGGAACCTTAGAGATCATTGACATAGTCCTCTCCTTGCAGATAAGGAAACTGAGATGTGGGCTTGTCCAAAGAGTGACTAATCCAAGGTCAGGTAGCTAATCAGTGGTAGGAAGGACTACAGACCGGGTCTCCTCATTTCCTGCCTAGTCCTCCTTCTACCATAGCACAATGTCTCTTCTTGGAAATGGGGTATGGAGCCTTGTATGGGGAGGTCACTGAGCCAAAAAGCCGAGGAAAGGAGCTGAGGTCAAACTGGGACGACAGCAGTGATGGAGTCTCAGGAAGGACATCTCACCTGGGGCCCAGGTAGCGGGGGTTGGCCACTATCACTTGGTCTCCTGGGCTCATCTCAGACAGTCAGCAGGAACCCGAGGAACCAGCAAAGCTGAGGGGAGAGAAAGGAATAGAGACAGACTACCTTTATCCCAAGGTTCTCCCATTAGCTCACCCTGGGATTCCTCACCCCTCATTGTAGGTACAGTGAGAGGAGCCACTTCTCTCCAAGCCCCACTGCTGTGGGCCTGGCTACCTGCTATGCTCTGGGGAAGTTGGAGAAAAAGCAAGGGACACATGGTCAGGAGAGGCTTGATTTCACAATCTAATTATGTGACCCTGGGTAAGTCACTTCTCTCTGAGTTTCAAATCTGTCATCTCTGTCCCCAGATCCCCATGTAAAATGGGGATAATAGTGCTCAATTACCTATTTGACAGAATTATTGAGGAGTGTACTTGGCAATATACTTTTGTGAGTTAGTATTATTATTTTCTGTAAAGAATTTTGTCTGGGAATGTAATTTTTTGTTGTTGAGTCATTTCAGTTGTGTCCTACTCTTCATCACACCATTCTGGGGTTTTCTTGGCAGAAATACTGCAGCAGTTTGCCATTTCCTTTTCCAGCTCTTTTGACAGAAGAGGAAGAGGAGGCAAACAGGGTTAAGTGACTTGAACTCAGGAAGATAAGTTTTCCTGACACCAGGCCCGGCACTCTATCCACTGAGCCATCTAGCTGCCTCTGGGAATATAACTTGCTATGCCAAGAGCAGAATCAAGGTCAGGACTAAGAAGATCTTGGCTCTTAACCGTAGAACAAGCCAGCAGAAAATACAGATGGGACTTCAGGGAGGCCCCAGAACAGCCCTGTCCCTTGCTTTACTGCTGCCACAACACAGAGAGGAGGGATTTCTTACATAACAAAATGGTAATCCACTCTTAGGACTGATGGCCCTCATGATGGTGTCCCCTACAAACTGTTGGCATGAATGGTTCAGAGTGCCACCAACTGTGAGGGGCAAAAGACTATGAACCTCGTCAGGTGTCTGCCACAAGCCACCCCAGAGGGAAAGCCAAGATCTCTGAAGAAGAGCTTCTATGTACACTGGGGAACAAGATGGCCTGAAAACAATCTGCCTCTACCCAGGTCTTTTCTCCTTCCAAATAATCTCTGTTCCCTGACCAGTCTCCCTTACACTGATAGTTCCTTCTCTCAGAATCTCCTTAGCTTTTTCTATACCTTTTGAGTGAAATCCTTAGCTTATGCTGACTTTGAGACCACAGGAAGACTTGTCCTAAGGCTGCACACAGCCAGACAATAAATCTACCCTTTCTCTGACACGGTGACCTGGGTAGAAATAACCCCTTGTCATCCTCACACCCAAAGTGTCCTTGGTATCCTGAGAGTGACATGCGGATGGGAGATTAGGGCAGCTACTCTGCCTTATGTGATCTAAGGCTGTCTCTGGGGCTACTTACTGACTGTTCTGTGAGTCTGTACCGTCTGAGTCAGTGCTCTGGGCACAGTGGATGCTCCCTGAGTATCTGTCCTGTGTGACCTCTGCTTCCTGTGTCTTCAGTCTGTCCTTTCTGAGCCCAGGCATGGCGGAGTACCTGTACCATCTCTGTGTGTCCTGTGTTACCTGGGTCATGTCTGTCCTGTCTCTGTCTTATGTCACCTGGGGCCAGGGCTGTTCCTTGTCTATCCCTTTGGTCTGTCCAGTGTCACCAGGGGCTGCTCCCTGTCTCTCTGTCCCCTCCATCTGTCCTGTGTCACCTGGGGCTTCTCTCTGTCCCTTCAGCCTGTCCAGTATCATCAAGGGCTGTTCCCTGTCTCTCTGTCCCTTCCCTCTGTCCTGTGTCACCTGGGGCTGTCTTTGTCCCTTCAGTCTGTCCAGTGTCACCAAGGGCAGCTCCCTGTCTCTCTGTCCCCTCCCTTGGTCCCTTCAGCCTGTCCTGTGTCGCCTGAGGATGTCCCCGATCTGTCACCTCCGTCTGTCCCGTCTGAGCCACGGCTCAGTCCAGGATGGATGCTCCATGCCGGGAGAGGAAGACACAGGGCACCAGGGGAGGGGGGGAGAGGGAATGACGCCCCGGTCCCTCCCCCTGCCCCGGGCCCAGACTCACCCTCCACTTAGGGGACGCCAGGGGCGGGTCAGGAGAAAGGGAGACCGGGATAGTCAGACAGGAACTTGCCCCAAGGAGCTGGCCCACCCAGACAGGAAGTGCTCCTTTTACTTCCGCCCCTAGCTGCGGAGCTGTCCAATCAGTACCCTTCTGGAGCCTCTCTAGGCTGCAGGGAGGCTTCATTATCTCGGTGGTTCGGTCCCCGATCTCCCTCCCTTGATTCTTAGACCATCCAAAGTGTCAGAGGTGGCAGGGCTATTAGAGAGTCAACCAGCTTCTGAACGAGAATCCCCTCTACGATACGTCTGGAAAGCGGCCATCCAGCCTCCTCTACCTCTCAGAACAGGCTGCTCCACTTTGGGCCAGTTGTAATAAGTAAACTTTCTTAATCCTAGATGAAACCTGCATCAATGTCATTTCCACCTGTTTCACTTAATGAGATCTTGAGCTGCATTTAGAGAGGCAGAGCTTCTAGGAGGAGGGAGGTGAGAGTCATCCTGGACTCGGTCTTGTCTGATCCCGTCTGGAGTACTGTGTTCACTTGTAGGCACCATAGTGTAAGAAAGACATTGATGAGGAGGAGAATGGCCAGAGAAGGGCGACCAGGATGGTGAGGAGCCGAGTCCATGTCACATGAGAATTGGTGGAAGGTTCTAGGAATGTTTAGGCTGGAGAAGAAAAGAATGGGGGTACCTCATAGATACAGTTAAGCATATGAAGGACTGTCATGTTGAGAAGGAGACTTTGGCCCTAGAGGTCAGAACCAGAAGCAATATGTGGAAGCTGTGAAATGGCAAATTTAGGCTTCATATTAGGAAAACCTCCTAATAATTAGAGCTGTCCCAAAGTGGATTGAGCTGCTTTAGGGGGACTAGGTTCCCCCTCCTTGGAAGTGTTCAAGCAGAGTCCAGATGGCCATTTGTTGGATATGTTGTAGAATGAATCCCTTTCATTTTGGACTAGATGGCTGCTGAGGTCCCTTCCAACTCTCCACATCTGTGATTCTGCTCCTTATTCTGCCCTCTGGGGCAGGTCTAATCCATTGTCAACATGCCAGCCCTTCAGATTCTTGAGGACAGCTGTCATATCCCTGCAAGTCTTCTCTTCTCTAGCCTAAACATTTCTAGTACATTCAACCAGTTTTCATAGGGTTTGAACTCAAGACTATCCACCATCCTGGCTGTTAATTGATTGGATGCCCTTCTCTTGACACTTTCCCTTTTTTCAATGTCCTCCATAAAGTATAGTGCCCTAAATCAAGCACAATACTTAAGAAAAGGTCTGAAGACAGTAGTGTATAGCAAGGCTTTCACTTCTCTGATCCTAGAAACTATGTATTCTTTCTTAGTGTAAACTAAAAACAATTTAGGGTTGGTTTTTCTTTGGTTTTTACTTGCATATTACATTGAGTTTGCAGTACATAAAACACCCAGATTTTTTTTCTTATGAAAAACTGTATAGTCATACCTCCTCATCCCATTGCTGTGATCTCTGGATGGGGACTCAACTACAGAAGACAGTGATTGACTTACTTAAAAAATTTTAATTATTATTATATATTTAAACTATCAAGCATTCATTTTTATCCCTTCCACCTCTCCCCACCCATTGAAAGAAGACATACAGAAAGGAAAAATATACAGAATCCCCATATCACATGAGAACAGTCAAACAAAACAAATTCCCACATTGGTCCCATCCAAAAATGCATTTCTTATTTCTGTATATTAGTCTATTACCTTTCTATTATGCAGTGGGTTTTGTCTCTCTGGATAAGAAAAGGCAGTTCTCAAGGGAAGAAACCGAGGCTATCTGTAGCTATATGAAAAAGGTCCTCCAAATCACTAATAATTAGAGAAATGTAAATATTGATCAATTTTTACAACTTCCTTAGGGCATAGAGAATATTAACACCAGGATTCCTCTAGGCAGTAAGTCAGCAATAGTGGCTACAGCAACTAGCTGGGCTGGCACTGTGGTGGGTCTTCGGCCATCTTCCTGAGGTTGTTTCGAGAAGAAATTCAATCCAGCTTCTGACCTCACCATTTTCACCAACACTGCTCTCTCCAAAGTTATCAATGATCTCTTAGATGCCAAATCCAGTGGCCTTTTCTCAATCCTCACTCTATTCTACCTTTCTTCAGCCTTTGGCACTATTGATTATCCTTCCCTTCTTTATACTCTCTTCCCTCTAGGTTTTTAGGACACCACTCTCTCCTGATTTTCCACCTATCTGTTCCTTCTCAGTCTTCTTTCGTGGTTCCTCATCATTTCAGGTCCTCTAACCCACAGGGTTCTGTCCTGAGCCATCTTTTTCTTTCTCTATACTACTTCACTTGGTGATTTTTATCAGTTTCCATGGATTTAATTACCATTTCTATGCTGATGATTCTCAATTCTATCTATCCTTCCCCAGAATCTTGACTGACCTCCAGACTCGTATCTTCAACTGCCCTTCAGACATCTCAAACTGGATGTTTGGTAGATATCTTAAACTCAATATGTCTAAAACAGAACTCATTATCTTTTCCCCTAAACCCTCTCTAGGGTAACTAGGTAGCACAGTGAATAGAGCACCAGGCCTGGAGTCAGGAAGATCTGAGTTAAAATCCAGCCTCAGATATTTACTAGCTGTATGACCTTGGGCAGGTCACTTAACCTCCATTTGCCTCAGTTTCTCATCTATAAAATGGAGATACAATGGAGAAGGAAATGGCAAATTACTACAGTATCTTTGCTAAGAAAGCCCATGGACAATGTTCATGGGACCACATAGAATTCAACACAACTAAAAGAATGAACAACAATAACAAACCCTCCCCTACCTCCTAACTTTGCTATTCCTATAGAGGACAATACTCTCCTCCTAGTCCCTCACAACCTCCACCTAGGAGTCATCCTCTACTCCTCACTATCTTATTCCCCATATCCAATCTGTTGTCAAAGCCAGTCAATTTCACTTTTGTAATATATCTAATATGCCCCTGTCTCTCCTTTGACACCACTCTGGTATAGCCCCCATCACCTCACATCTAAACTATTGCAATAGCCAAATGGTGGGTATGCCTGCCTTGAGTTTCTCTCCACTCCAATCCATCCTCCATTCTGCCATTAATGTGATTTTCCTAAAGTGCAGACTGGAACATGTCACCTCCCCCCACCCCACACACCTTCTCAATAAACTTCAGTAGCTCCCTATCACCTCCAAGATCAAATACAAAATTTTCTCTTTGGCATTCAAAGCATTTCATAACCTAGGCCCTTCCTACCTTTCCAGTCTTCTTACGCTTTATTCTGCAACACATACTCTTCCATCCAGTGACACTGACCTCATTACTGTTCCATGAACAAGACACTCCATCTCTCAGCATTCTCTCTGGCTGTCCCCTTTGTCTGGAATGCTCTATCTCCTCATTGCCACCTACTGACTTTCCTGGCTTCCTTTAAATCCCAATTAAAATCCCATCTTCTATAGAAAGTCTATCCCAACACTTCTTTTTTTATTATTAAATTTTTCATTGATATTTTCTGTTTCTTACATCACCATAGTTATCCCTTCCACTGCCCGGAGAACCTTCCTATATGACCAATAGTGGGGGTTTTTTTAAGAGAGAAAAAAAAGAGAGCACAACTGATCAATACATTGAAAAAGTCTGAAAAAATGTAATTCGTAACATTTGTGAATCTTCCACCTCCACAAAGGAATAAGTTGACAGCAGAGGCGGGGGGGGGAGGGGGAGGGAAATCTTCTCATATCTCTTCTTTCAAGTTCTCCTCAATCTCTGTAATTTTGTTACATTTACATTTGCTTTTTTTTGGTTGTTCTTTCCAATAACATTGTTGTGGTTACTGTGTATATTTTCTTGGCTCTGCTTAATTCACTCTGCATAGATCTTTCCATACTTCTCTGTAATCATCACACACCTTTCTTACAGCACAGTAATATTCCATTACATTCATGTAATACAATTTGTTTAATCATTCCCCAGTTGATGGGCATCTGCTTTGAGTGTATTATGGAATGTGGTATAAGGAGTTGATTTAAGTCCAGTTTCTGCCAGACTACTTTCTAGTTTCCCAGAAGTTTCTATCAAATAAGGAGTTTCTCCTAGATAATTTGTTTTTCCTTTATCAAACATTGGGTATTGAGTTCTATTATTTCTAAATCTCTCTTGTTTAGTCTGTTCTATTGATATTTCTATTTTTTAACCAATACCAGAGTATTTTGATGGCTGCTGCTTTATTATATAGTTTGAGATCTGGAAGTGGTATTCCCCTGAAGAGATCCCTATTTCTTTTCATAATTTCTCTTGATAATCTAGATATTTTGTTTTCCTAAATTAATTTTGTTTCTATTTTATCAAGTTCTGTGAAAGTATCTCCCTAATAATTTGATTGGTATAGCATTCAAAGTGTAAATGAATTTTGATTGTATTGTCATTTTTATTATATAGGCGCAGCCTAGCTGTGAGCACTGAATATTCCTCCAGCTGCTTAAGTTGTTCTTTTTTCTTTAAGTGGCACTTCATAATTGAATCTATATAAGTCTTTTGTGTGTTTTTGGAGGTCAGTCCCTAGATATTTTATGCATTTTGTAGTTATTTGGAATAATATTTCCCTCCTATTATTTTTGGGTTTTTATTATTATACAGAAATGTTGCTGATTTTTCAGGATTTATTTTGTAATCTATGCTTGCTTAAATTATTAATTGTCTCAATTAGTACTTTTGCTGATTTCTTTGAGATTTTCCCAAGTAAACCATCATATAATCAGCATATTGGAATAGTTTTATCTCTTCTTTATTTCTCCTTTTTCCTTTCATTTCTTTCTCTTGTTTTATTCCTATTACTAGCATTTCTAGAACTATATTAAATAGTAGTGGGAAGAGTGGGTATCCTTGATTTGTATCCTTGGAAAAGAGTCTAGTGTATCTCCATTGCATGTGATACTTGCCTTTGGTTTTAGATAGATACTTTTAATGATATTAAAAAGGTTAGTTAAAAAACATTGCACAATTTTTAGCATAAAAGAATGCTATACTTAGTCAAAGGCCTTTTGCATCTATTAAAATGATCATGTGGTTTGGGATGTTTTGGTTTTTAATATGATTGTTTTGATTGTTTTCCTAATGTTGAACCATCCTTGCAACCCTGGAATAAATTTCATTTGGTCATAATGAATTATTACATATATAAATCACTGTAGTCTGTTAGGATTTTGTTTAAAAATTTTTGAATTAATGATATTAGCTGATAGTTTTCTTTCTGCATTTTATCTTTCCCTGATTTAGGTAATAGGACTATATTTGTCTCATAAAAGGATTGTGGTAGAGTGCTTTCTCAAAATTTTTAGAGTAATTTGTGAAGTATGGGTACTAACTGTTCTTTTAAAATTTGATGTAATTCTCTTGTGAATCCATCAGGACCAGCTCTGTGTGTGTTAGTCCCTTCAACTAGATCTATTTTTTTTCTGAGATCTGGTTATTTAAGATCTCCATCTGGTCTTCTAATAGTTTGAGGATTTTATATTTTTGAAAATATTCCTCTTTGTCTTTTGTGTTCTCAGTTTTGTTAGCATATAACTGACCATAATATGTTCTGATTATTCTTTTTATTTTTTTTCTGGTTTTGCTCTGATTTCACTTCATTTGCTATTTTATTGATTTAAATTTCTGCTTTCTCCTTTTCTTTAAGGTCACAAAATGCTTTACATATATTACCTCATTGGGTCTTCACAACAATCTTGTGAAGTAAGTACTATTATTATTCCCATTTTATAGATGAGGGAGCAGAGGCAGACAGCAGTTGGTGACTTGGCAGGATTCACACAGCCAGTAAATATCTGAAGCAATATACAAACTCAGGCCTTCCTGATTCCAAGTTGAACATCATCCATTTTGCCAACCAGAGTACACTTCATGCCAGTCTTAGCTAGATGAGCAAGTTGGGAGTGCTTTTATCTCCTCAGTACCTCTTATAATTCTCTCCATATTTTCCAAATCAAGGTTCATCTTAGGGGACAAACCATGGATCCACATCTGAAAATATCCACAAACGTTCAGAGATCTAGACTCCCAAGATGCTCAGGGACATATACCCGAACACTCTTGCACCTCTTGCTGTCCTTCTTACTTACGTGTTATGTTTGCACTTATTCTCTGAATCTCACCACTACTCAGTTTCATTACCCATACGAGAGACCATGCCACAGACAAATTATGTCCTGAAGCCCCATTTTCCTGTTAGTGACTGCCTTTTTTGAAGGAAAATCCCAGCCATCCCTAACTTCACTCCCTATTCTCTTCCAGAGCCTCCTGGCACTGTACAAGTGCACAAACACGCAACTGCTTCCCCACAATTCACAAATGTATGGCTCACATAAAGGATAATAATTTCTTTGAATACCAAGATATGCTTCTGGACTTGTTTGGAAGACCATTTTAGTGTCTTACAGGATTAACTGTTGTAGTTGAAGAAAATTTAGGCCATCATGATAATAAAGAGACTAGAAATTCAGTTTACTAGTTGTTATTTATTTGAAATCCAGAAAAATATGAAGTAGTTTGGTTGTGGTGATGCTCTTATACATCTCAAGAGAAATAGGGTACGTTCCATATGCCCAAATCTCAAATACTCTTGTTTCAGTATGGTAGAGAGGTAAGTGTCTGTTATTGTCTACATGTGCTTCAAACTGGAAGAATCATCTGAACAAATCCCTTGAGGAGCAAGCAATGCATCTGTGAAGTGAAACAGGGCCAGAATGAATGATTTCTGTTCCCTTTCACCTGCAATATTCTAGGATATAGAACTGTTTATGGGAGCCTTGCCTTCTTTCTAGTTCACCTACAAGGGCTGTCTGCTTTGTTGTGGCCTCACATCATGACTACAGAGGCCTGGGTCTCCCCCTGGTTCAAGTTCAGTTTTCTCCTTTATAAAAATGATTCCATAAAGATCAAGAGAAATATGCGATTCAAGATCAGCATAAATTTCTCTGTAGTTCTCAGTGACAAAAGCAAAAAGTGACTGGATCGGAGATTCCTGTCCCATCCTCATAAGACCCCTTAGGAATTTGAGGATCATAGTCCTATTCCCTGTAGGAGATTACAGAACTTACTTTCATGGGAAAAGCTCTGAGATCTCTCTTCCCATTTTTGTTCAATCTGCAAGGTCAGATGCTGTGGTTAGGGGAAAAGTGAAGAAAAAACTCTTTCTAGGGAGAATAACTGAAGGCAGAGCTATTTTCAGGTCTCAGTGATCATCTGCCTGTTCCTTTGCGTTTTCATGGCTGGAGAAGCTGCCTACATTCTTGCTCCAACTGACGTGGCACATAGAAAGGGGTCTGGATACTTTCTGATTTTCACTATTTTCTAATGGAGAATGTGGGCCAAGTCTGACTATTACCAATCCATTTGTTACATTCCTAATTTCCCTCATATATGGATTTTATTGTGTTGAATGAAGGCTGAGCAGGCACTGAAGGCTTTTCCACATGTATTACATTCATAGTATTTCTTTCTGTTATGTGTTCCCTGATGCTGGCTGAGTTGAGAGCTCTGACTAAAGGCTTTCCCACAATCACTGCATTCATAGGGTTTTTTTCCAGAGTGATTGTTACAATGCTGAACAAAAGAGGAGCATGCCCTGAAGGTCTTTCTACATGTATTGCATTCATAGTGTTTCTCTTGGTTATGTGTTCACTGATGCTGACTAAGACTTGAGCTACGATAGAAGGCTTTCCCACATTTGTTACACTCATAGGGTTTCTCACCAGTGTGGATTCTATGATGCTGAATAAAAGATGAAAGTGCATTAAAGGCTTTCCCACATTCGTTGCATTCATAAGGTTTCTCACCAGTGTGAATTCTCTGGTGTACAGTAAGGTTCGAACTGTGGATAAAGGCTTTCCCACATTCATTGCACTCATAGGGTTTCTCCCCAGTGTGGATTCTCAGATGTTGAATAACGTTAGAATTCTGGATAAAGGCTTTTCCACATTTGTTACACTCATAGGGTTTGTTTCCAGTGTGAATTTTATTATGTTGAATAAGAACTGAATGGGCACTGAAGGTTTTCCCACACACATCACATTCATACTGCTTTTCTCCTGTATGGATTCTCTGGTGTTGGATCAGGGATGAGCGAGCACTAAAGGTTTTCCCACACTCCCTACACTCATAAGGTTTTTGTCCATTGTGTATTCGTTGATGTTCTATCAAGGTCGAGTTCTTTCTGAACACCTTTTCACATAAAGTACATTTAAAGGGTCTCTCTCCCATGGGAGCTCTCTGTTGGATAATTTGTTTGGAATGTTGCTTGAAGGTTTGGCTAAATGTGTCACATGGTCTCTCTTGCATTGGGACTTTCTGGTGTCTAAAAGGCTGTGGGTTTGGAGTGTTTCTCTTCCCAAATTTATTACATTCCTGTTCTCTCTCCTCAGTGAGAATTATCTTGTGGCTTGCAGCAAGTGGAGTGAAATGTATCTTCTGGGAAGGGGATTTCCACAGCTTTCTGCCTGTGGAGTTTTCCTGGTATCCCTCCAATCTGTCCTCACTTTCAAAGGCTTCTTTCCCTGTAAGTTTTTCTGATACCACCTCCTGGGATTTCAATCCATCAACATCTTCCTGTTTTGGGGTCACCTTCTCATTTTCAGTCCTAGTCTCACAACCTGAATCAATGAATAAAAAAGGAAATGAGATTTGTTTTTTCATACACTACTGAAGCAGAAATAGGAAAAACACATGCAATGGCTCTCTCCTAGGATTACAATAGAGAGCTCATTGTCTGGAGCAGAGTATAGAGAGGAGTCCAGATGGTTAAGGAGGATGGTAGACTATTTTCATACTATGCTTCCTGAATTCAGCCATCATCCTCACTCCTCTACCTCCAGAACCTTTGACTAGAATCCCCGGGATACTAGATTCTGATGGGTGAGCTTTCAATTTATCCCACCTACAATCAGGCTTCCATATCACTTCCTGGCTATATCCATACCAGGTAGCAGCAGTCCAGCCATCACTCTCATGTCCCTCCCATTGACAGCTTGGACTCTGCCCTTGGGATGCTGGACTCTGGCATCTTGCTAAGGTCCAGGTTTCCATATCACTTTCAGGACATCTTCCATACCATTTCACTATCCCCATCCCACTTTCCCACTCCCTTTTATATGTTGTCTTTTTCTATTGGAATGTAAGCTTCTTGAAGGCAGAAATTGTCTTGTATTTGTATCCCCAGTGCTTAGCATAGTGCCTGTCATATAGTAAGCACTTAATAAATGTTTTATCTATCTTTATCTATTTATTTAGATTCAGAGTTCAAGGTGAGCTCAGGGAATAAGGACAGACCATGGAAGGGGAATGAATAGTAGCGAGCAGATAATCCAAGAAGAGGAGGAAGGATGGCCCTACTTGGGCAGGGAGAGCACAAAGAACAAAAAGAATCCATGAAGATTCTTGGCCAGGAAATCATGTTCAGGAAATAGGCCAAGTTGAGAGAAAGATAAACAAGAAGGGAAAGAGTGAGAAGACTGATGAAAATGAACTCTCAATGAGCTCTCAATGTCAAGGAGAAGATGAAGGGTATGAAGAAAATACTTCCATAGTTTAGGTACTTTTAAAATTCCCAATGAGCAAGATGTAAGTTTCTATCTGTCTGTCTTAGATATGTTATATGATCATTAATCAACTAGTAAAGAATCAAAAATAGCCAATGAATTGACATGAACTGGTAAATATGGTTACTAAGCTGCTTCCAACAATCTTTGAAAGACAGAGGAATTCTATTAGGTAGTTTTCCTTAAATGTTTTATCTTAAGGTACTACAGAGGGTGAAGCCAGCTAGGTGACTCAGTGGATAAAAGCACTGGGCCTGGAATCAGGAGGGCCTGAGTTCAGATCTTGCCTCAGATACTTACTAGCTATGTGACTTTGGGCCTGCCCTCTGTTTGCCTTAATTTACTTGAGAAGAAAATGGCAAACCACTCCTGTATCTTTGCCAAGAAAATTCCATGGACAGCACTGGTGTACTATGGCCTATGGGGTCACTAAGAGTCAGACATGACAGAATGACTAAACAACAGCCATAGGGGGTGTTTATTGGGAAGTGATTCAAAATAATATGTACCAATAATTTTTTTTAAAGGAAGACCATGGAGAATGGGAAAAGTGAAGAACAATTCTCATCTTTATGGGGGGGGAGAAATGGAGTCTACAAAAACTAGAGGTCAGGAACTTGGGCTCCAATTTCTGTCAAAATTCCAGAGTATCTTATAAAACAAGTAATTAGTGAACATCTAGAAAAGGAAATGGTAACCATGGAAAGCCTCTGATTAGGTACTGATTAAGAAAATGTCATGTCAGCCTAGCCTCATTTCCTTTCTTGACAGTGGTAACATCAGGATATTGCTACATAATTTGTCAAGGAATTTGATAAAGTCTTATGCTATTCCTAAGGATAAGACAGAGAAATGTGAAATTAATAATGCCAATTATGGATTTGGGACTGGTTGAATGGTCAGAGCCAGAGTTGTCATTAATCGTTTGGTGTCACCTAGGGAAGACTCTATCATATAGTGTCCCAGTGGAGCTATTGGCTCCACACTGTTCAACATTTTTATCAATGATCTGTATCAAGGCTTAGCTGATACAGTTATTAGCTTTTCAGATGACACAAAACTAGGAGGAATAGCTAACACAGAAAATGGCAGAGTAAAGAACCAAAAAGTCCATGACAAAGTAAAGTATTGGGCCAAATCTTGCCAGATGAAATTGGATAGGGATACGTGAAAAGTCAGGAAGGCTTGGGTTAAAATCCTACTACTGACACTTAATAGCCATATGACCCTGGGCCTGCCATTTAATCCCAATGTGCAACTCCCTAAGCCTTATTTACTAAGTCATTAAATGATTGCAATCTGCACAGATGTGGGGAATTTCCACATCAGGAATTTGAAAGAAAAAAACTGAAAAAATCACAGATCCTTCATATATTACATAAAATCTTAAATCAAACTTTAAAAGTACAAGATAAGAAGATACAGCCAGATTTCAGTTCAAGTGAAAAAGGCCTGGGTGTTTTAATGGATTATAAGCTTGATATGAACAAGCTATAAATGAGCTCTCTAAGGAAAAATCCCCAGGAACAGATAGATTCACAAATTAATTCTACCAGACATTTAAAGAACAATGAATTCTAATGCTATATAATCTATTTGGAAAAATAGGCTAAGAGGTCCTACCAAATTCCTTTTACAGCACAATTATGGTGCTAATATCTAAACTGGGAAGAGCAAAAGCTGAGAAAGAAAACTATAGACCAATTTCCCAAATGAATATTGATGCAAAAATTTTAAATAAAATACTAGCAAGGACATTTTTATAAAGGATATTAATAAGCTGCAGAGCATTCCCGAGAAGGTGTCTAAGAGGATGAAAGGCCCTGACATCATACCATGTGAGGACTGGTTAAAGAAATGGAGATATTTATTTACCCCGAAGAAGAAAACTCTCTCTCTCTCTCTCTCTCTCTCTCTCTCTCTCTCTCTCTCTCTCTCTCTCTCTCTGTCTCTCTCTCTCTCTTTCATGGGGCAGAGGTGAGCATGGGTAGGAAGATAATAATAATGGTTTTCAAATATTTCAAAGATCCTTATATGGAAGAAGGATAAGACTTGTTCTACTTGGTCCCAGAGGGCAGAACTAGAAGCAATGAATGAAAGCTGTACAGAGGTAGATTTTAACTGAATGTCTGAAAACAACTTCCTGATTCAGTTCAACAGACGTTTCTTTAAAGCACCTACAATGCGCAAGCGTTGCACATTCTTAACCATTTGAGCTATCCAAAAGGGGACTATGCTTTTTTGTTGAGAAGCTAGGTTGAGGGGACTGGGATAGGTTGAGGGTTGCAGTATATGAGAGCAGTTATCAAATATGTGTAGGGCTGTCATCTAGAAGAGGGATTATTATACTGGGGCTTTGGACCAGGGGTCACTACTCTGGGACCAATACACAGACATCACAGAAAGCCTGATCCCTGCTCAGCATAAAGAACTGTGCAACAATGGAAATGTGTTGGATTGAGATGAGCTCCCTATCATTGCAAGTCCTCAGGAAGAGGCTGGATGACCTTTCTAAATGGAAGAAGAAGAAGAAGAAGAAGAAGAAGAAGAAGAAGAAGAAGAAGAAGAAGAAGAAGAAGAAGAAGAAGAAGAAGAACAACAACAACAACAACAACAACAACAACAAGAGCAAGAACAAGAAGAACAAGAACAAGAGCAAGAACAAGAGCAAGAACAAGAAGAACAAGAAGAACAAGAAGAACAAGAACAAGAAATGCAATCATTAAACACATGGAAACATTCTCCAAAGCACTAAAATAAGAGAAATGGAAATTAAAATAATTTGAAGTTTCATCTCATACTCATCAAATTGGAAATGATGATAAAAAATACTAGGGGAATCAATAGAAGTTAGGCATGCAAATACACAGGAGCTAGAACTCTTCAGGAAAAGAAAATATAAGTATGCAAGAAAAGTTACAAAATTGTTCATATCTTTTGGCTGAATCATCCAACTGCTGGGTATATACCCCAAGGAAGTCCAAAGAAGGAAACTCCCAATCCAGGTCCACAAATTTCTTAATACCAAGATCTAAATGCCTCCAATAAACATGCTCTGAATACTTCATTCCACAGCCTTCATGGCTTCAGTCCTTGGGTGCTAGGTGCTAAGATCCCTCCAACTATGATTGTATGATTCCATGCAAGTAAATCTTAAACTGTTCCTTATTTTGCTTTTAACTGGTTTACAGTTGTTTCTGATGTCCTAGAAGTGAGCTCTCTAAGGATAAACTCAATTTTCCAATGTCTTTGAACTCAGCCTGGGCAATGTTACTCAGCATCCAATCACAGATGTTTAGAAAATGCATTTTCAGTGACTGAATGAAAGGTCCTAATTCACTCACTTACCTGAACAGTCATTGCTTAGGATGTCTTTCCCCTCAGCTGCCTGTGTGTCCAAGACCCATGGCTCATCCCCTTGTTCCAGCTGGGAGATCATATCAGGGTTAGATGCTGGAAATCCTGTTTGTAGAGAAAGAAACTAGACCTGGCAATTTGTGCTGGGTACATTAAGCTGTCCTACATTCAATCCTAGCCTTTGGGTCTACAGGGGAAAGAGAAGGACAGTGTCGAGAGATGACATAATAGGCTAGTGCAGGGAAAACCTGTTCATGCAGGCAGGAGCTTTGGGGAGAAGGCTAGTTGATGAAATGGTGATCTGTGTGCATAGGAAATAATCACTTCATGAGCTCATCTTCCCAAAGAGTACAGGAAATTCCTACTTCTGGCCATGTCTTCATTGAACCCTTGGGGAGCACCCTAGGTTTATGGCAGTGAGGTCAGTATTTATACAGAGAATTCAGGGGTCATAAATATATGAAGCTGCTCATTTCCAAATCTGCACAGAACAGACCTATTACTACTTGTCTAGGGTGTACAGGGAGTAGAAACATCTCGTCTCTGAGCACAGATGGGACTGAAAATCTCTGATCCCCGAATTCTAAGCCTCAACCCAACTGAGCCCTCCAAATAAAATAATATCAGTTCTGAGTCCCATGGGAGAAGTCTCACCCAAGAAGATCAAGTTGCTATAATTCTCCAGCATCACATCTCTGTAGAGGTCCCTCTGAGCAGGGCCCAGATGGCCCCACTCCTCCTGAGTGAGGTACACGGCAACATCTTCAAACACCATCGACACCTGAAATGACATATTCCTTCTGCAGCCCCACTGAAAATTATACTGCTTACCCCTGGAGTGAGGGAATAAGCTGACAGCCTTGGGAAAGGATAAGGAACTCTCAAGGAAGAAGGTCTGAGATGTAGTATAGTGGTTTCCACAATCACATGACTCAGGAACAAATTTCCATTAAGATCTCATTTCGATGCCTTGTAATGGAGAGTCACTTGGTTGGCCCCTGGATGCCAGTGACTATGCCAATGGAGTAGAAATGCTGCAACAGAACCTATCAAACTAGGCAGGTTTCAAGTAGGACCTTCAATGAGTAGTCAATGTGTCAGTCATCTGAAGCCCTGCACCAAAAGGATTGACACCAGGTAGTATATGTTTTCAGCCACTGCCATTCACAAAGGTATACAAACGTCAGCTATCTATTTCGATCCCTTCACCTTATAAGTGAGGAAAAGTGAGGCCTGGAAAGGTAAAATCACTTGCCTAAGGTCACATGCCTAAGGTTAGTAAAGGGCAGAACTATAATGAGAAAATAGGGTTTGAGACCAAAAGTCTAGGGATCTTCCCATTTCACTGCTTCTTGAATGTCTCAAAGAGTCCAGGCCAGTGGCTCTCAATCTTTTCAAGTGTAAAGGTCTCTTTATAACATCAAAAACTTCATAGATTCCCAAATGATAGTAGTTGTTCTCTGTTGCCTATGTAGCCTTTATCCATTTATCTATTGGGATATGACCTTGAATTGGCATAAACTCAATGGAAGGGCATTTCAGTAGGGGTATGAGAAGACTCAAAGAAGGAAATGAATAAGATGAATGGGGAAAGGAAAGAGATTAACTTTTTAATGTTGAAAAACTTTACAGATCCCCAAATGATGAGTTGTTTTATTATTATATGCTGATTAAGAAGATATATGATGAAAAAAAACCCTTCTACACATTCAATGAAACTTTTGATTTAATTTGCATTTTATTAATTACAATAGCACACCCTTGAAAAATAATAATACTATATGTGAGACATTTACTTAGTCTATTTGATAAATGTTTTCTTAGGATACCAAATCATTTAATAAGATGAGGAGTTGTTCCCACAATAACTCTAGCAACTTAGGAGTCTGCTGCCCATGGATTAGGAACCACAGGCATAGAATACCACACAATTCTAATGCACAAATTAAAGGTCTTGTGGAGCTCCTGGCAGCAGGTAAAATAGCATTTTGAGGCCCCAGAACTATTGTCTCCACTAGGAATTTTCAACCTTTTTTGTGTCGTGGACTCCTTTGGCAGTCTGGTGAAGTCTATGGACCCCTTCCCTTGATCATTTTGCTATAGTTTTTAGGAATTCACAATCACTAAATGTCAGTTAAAGGTTGCAATTTTTTGTCCCATGCAAGTTCATGACCCCAATGAAATCTATCCATGGACCCCTTGGGATCTTGGACCCCAGACTGAGGACCCCTGGTCTATATAGTGCTTTGTAAACTGCAAAGTACTACATGTAACTGGGTTATTATTCTTATTGTTTGAATGTCACTGGTATAATGTCCATGGGGCGGGGAGGGGAGAGGGAGATGAGGAAGGGGAAAATAACTGTATAACTTTATTTTAAAACTATATATTCTGCAAATATATTGCTTTAATGAGAATTTCATCTTTCAAATGGTAGGGAAACCAAAAAGAGCAAATTCTATTCGGATCTGATTCTCATTAACATGGAGGAACTAGTTGCTGGGGTAGAAATGATGGAAACAATACTGAGGAGAATAAAAAATAATGAGTTGTCTAAAGACATCAATCTGGATACATAGGGAATTCATGGACAAACTTAGATTTTAAAAAAGAAGGGGCAGCCAGGTGGCACAGTGGGTAAAGCAGCAGCCCTAGAGTCAGGAGGACCCAAATTCAAGTCTGGCCTCACTTAATAGCTGTGTGACCTGGGCAAGTCACTTAATCTCAATTTTCTCTTAAAAAAGAAATGTACAGAAAGAAAAATGGAAACAAGGCTAGGAAAAAGAATAGCCTAGTAAAAATAATGTCAGGACACTAAACTGCACATACTCTTTGACCAGCAACACCATTGCTAAGCATACACCTGAAAAAAATGAAATAAAGAAGAAAGGATCCACATGTGCAGAGATATTTACAAAAGCACTTTTTATCGTACCAAGTAACTGTAAATTAAGGAATTGCCAATGAATTGGGCAATAGTTGAATAAATTATAGTATTATATTGGAATGTTATTGCACCAGAAATAATGATGACAAGGACTGTGGTAGAAGCTTAACCTTCTCCCCACCCCCCATGCAAATTAGTCTAGTTTTTCCTTAAAAAGTATTGGGACCATCCCCAAGACTTGATTGGCTCAAGGAACTAAAAGCTATTGGTATTACATCTTTATTGCATAAGTAAAAAATAACCATGAGGAGGTCTAGATGCTCTTTCTGATGCTTAGTCAATGGGAAATGTTGGATGATTCATACAAGGGAGCCTCCTTCAACTGTTGAATTAGCCTCCTCCTAATCATGTAGGATTACAACCTGGGTGTCATCCCCAACTATACCCTCTCACACTAGACATATCCAATTAGTTGTCCAGTCCTGTTATTTCTACCCTCATAATATCTCTCATATATGCCCCTCTTCACTCCTCTGACACTACTACCGTACTGGTACAGACCCTCACTACCTCACATCTGTACTATTGCAGGTTAACCTTCCTTTCTAGAGCCTTTCCACTCCAGCACACCTTCCACTCAACTATCAAACTTATCTTCCTAAAGGCAGATCTGACCATGTTATCACTCCCCCATTTTCAATGAACTCCCATAGCTCCCTATTACTTCCAGGAGGAAAGATAAAATCCTATTTGGCTTTTAAAGCCCTTTATAACCTGCTGCCTTCCTACCTTTCCAATCTTCTTGCACCTTATTCCCTTGCATATACTCTGTGATCCAATGATGCTGGCCTTGCTGTTCCTCAAACTAGATACTCCACCTTCCTGACTCCAAGTATTTTCACTACAGGCATACATTGAAAGATATTGTGGATTTGGTTCCAGACCACCATAACAAAGCAAATATCACAAAAAGTGAATGACATGAATTTTTTGGTTTCCTAGCACATATAAAGTTCTGTTTATACTAGACTATAATATTTTAAGTATACAATAGTATTATGATACCTCTCCAATCAAGTACTTTTCACAGCTATGTCTAGGTGGATCATTCTTTACCAAACAAGGTATAGAGGTACTCAGAAAAGACAAAATAGATCATTTTAGTTATATTAATGCAGCCAGGATAAAAAAAGAGGCTGTTAATTGGTAAAAATTTGAATCAGATATTTCTGATAAAGATCTGGCATCCCAGATATACCAGGCTTTTGCAACATGGATAAAACTCAGGGAAAGAATATCATGTCACTATGTTAGATGGAGGACTCATCATGTCTTTGCACATTCTACTTACCTGCCTTCATCAGCAGAGCTTCTCATATCCACTGATACTCTGCCTAGGTTCATTGTTCAATGGCTAGTAAACTCCTATTCCCTTACCCTTTTAGTTTTGTGATACTGATCTCCTGACTGCCAAAGAACAAACCTTCCTCTCTAAATTCTACTGCTCACTCTTGTACTCTCATATCAACCTCAATCCTACCTCCCCTCCCCCACAATGTCCTACTCTGTATCTGCTCCACTATGCCCTCTGGAACTCCTGCTCTACAGTTAATCAACTTTTTAGATTTCTTCCTCTCATGCTCCTTTCATATTCTGACACTCACTTGAATACCTGGATCCTACCACAAATACCCACCTCTAGATTATAATGCAGCCCTTGTCACCCTTTCTAGTACTGTTTACATTTCTCTGACACTCATCCCAGATGGGAGACTCAGAATCTTCCTTAACAACCTCCTCCACTTCCAGTTCTAGACTATTTCTTTGCTACCATCATTCAACAAATTCTCTTCCTTTGAGATTCACTTTATTCAAATATATCTAATTCCATCACAATCTCCTATCATTTCATCTTTCCTGTTTCTTACTCTTCTTAAACCAGAACCGCAGCATTCAGTAGAAAGTATGCAGGGTTTTGATTGAGAAGACTAGGGCTCAAATCCCAGTTTTGTTATATAGTCTATATGTGACCTTGAGTAAATCACTTCCCTCCTCAGTCTTAGTTTTCTCATTTACAAAATGATGAGAATCAGATGGCCTCTAAGATCCCTCTCAGGACTAAATCTATGATTCTAAGATTTTCAAAAGAAGAACTACAAACTATTAGCAACCATATGAAAGATTATTCCAAATCACTAATAATAAAAGAAATGCAAATTAAAACAACTCTGAGGTGTTACCTCATACCCAACAAATTGGCAAAGATAAGAAAAGATGAGAATAGTCAATGTTGTAAAGACTATGGAAAGACAGGCACACTAACACACTATTGTTGGAACTGTGAATTGAGCCAGACAATCTAGAAAACAATTTGGAATTGCGTCAAAAAAAAAAGTAGCTAAAATATTCTTACCCAGATATCTTATTGCTATGCATGCATCCTAAGGTAGTCATTTTTTTTAAAGTCCTATTTAAACCAAAATATTCACAGCAGCACTTTCATTTGTGGCAAAAAAAAAAAAACACAACAAACTGGAAACAAAGTGAGTGCCCCTTAAATGGGTGTCAATTAAACAAACCACAGTACATGAATATAATAGAATGTTACTATTCCAAAAGGAACAAAAACTATGAAGATTACACAGAAGCATGGGCAAGACTAACAGAACCACAAAACAATGTACAAAAAGACAGCAATGGAAATGGAAATAACAACAAAATCAAGAAACTGAACACTATATAATTATAATGACCAAGCTTATCTCTGAAGAAGAGATGAGAAAATGCACTTCCCTCTCACCTCTTTGCACAGGTGATAGACTATGAGTATATACAACACACTGTCATATTCTGTAGGTTAATTTTGCTAATTTTTTTCCCTTCTTTCTTTTCATTCTTTTTAACAGTGGATGGCTCTCTGGATGGGGAAGAAGAGTATATTTGGAAACAATGGTGATGTAAAAATAAAAGATATAACAAAAAGTTAAAAAACATAAATGTGTAAAAGGATATGATTCAGTGGGGCAAATTTCCACCCCCAGTAAGATTCACTTCAACCTATTTCCCATTTACATATAAAAATCATATGAGAGTCCTTGAAATATCTTAACAATAGAAATAGCTTTGCTATGACTTTCTGATTACCAGTATGAAATAAGGGACGAAATTAGGAAATGTTTGCTTGCCAAAAATGCTTGTCTATGTCATGGAAGTTGATGATAACAGAGTCTAAATAAAAGAGGGGCTCCCTATACATTGCAAAGTCCTGCAGATGCTCTTGTTTGCAGATGACATTGTGATGAATGAACCCAACCTCCTGATATTGCAGAGGCTCAAGGAAATCCATAATCACTCAAATGGTAGTCTATCTACACAAGACAATCAAGTGGATGAAGAATGTTTATTATTCAGACTGTCCTCTGCAGCTATATGGCCAACCCATAGAACTTGCCTAACTCCCTCTCTGTCTCCATGTCTTTCTCTCTATCTCTCTGTGTGTATCTCTCTGCCTCTGTCTGTCTCTGTCTCTCTGTACACACACACACACACACACACACACACACACACACACACACACACCCCATACTGGATGAATAATGAGCCAGATCCAGAATCAAACAGGAAGAGAAAAAGCTAGTTGGATTGCCTTCAGAATATTGTATAGTGGTTTTTATTGGCCCTAAGCTTCTCTCTAAAACAAATTTTCATCTTTTAACATTAATAGTCTTCTAATAATGCTATATGACAATGAGGCACAGTAAATCACATACTCCAAAGATTTAAGGTCAGTGGAGAGGCTCATAACAGACAGATTCAGGCTGCAACATATTACCAATAAGGGATTTCTCCAGAGAAATAGCAAAAAGCATATCATCAAAAAATACATGACTAGAAAAGGAGGCATGTTTGGAGTGGGAGATATATTAGTGGATGGTACATGAACTCTACTGATGTTCATATCATGTCAAGAAATCCAGAGAATGGCCCCAAGCAAATTGGCCCCTGTATACATGATATACATGAAGTATATACATGAAGGTGTAGACTAGAATTTCATAAGACAAGAAAGTGTTACATTGTGTTGGGACAGAGTACCCATCTTGATTGGATAACAGATCAAAGTATTAATTATGCCATACTCTTGATCCATCCTGAGCATTTCATTAAAACGAACTATATCTTTTTCAAATGAATTTTTGTACAGACACATCTCCCCTGTCTTGTGCAGGTACCTTATATAACCATCTCAATCTCATAATAGTCGACTAAATCCACTAAATCCACATAAGTACATAAGCCTGTACTTATGTAGTCTGACCCTAACCAGAAGCAGCCTTGTAGCAGAATAGTAGTAGAGACACCCATTCAACACAGCCATTGCATCCATTAGTGAACTTTGTAAGGACAGCACTAAAGAAAAAGAAAGGACATCTCTATGTCTTGGATCTGGGCATTTTCTTTGGCTGTCCCCCATGCCTGGAACAGACTGTGACTACTGACCTCCCTGGCTTCCTTTAAGTCCCAACTAAAATCTCAACTTCTATAGGAAACCTTTCTTAGCCTCTTTTAATTCCAGTGCTTTCCCTCTCAATTATTTCCTATTTATCATATGTAGATTGCTTTCCATATGTTTGTATGTTGTCTCCCCTGTTGGACTGTAAGCTCCTTGGCAGGCTGTGTCTTTTGCCTTTTTTTGTATTCCCCAGTGCTTAGCATGGTACCTGGTGCATAGTAGGCATTTAACAAATATTTATTCCAGAGGTTCCAGATTTGTGAGTCACCCTGGCCACATTTGTACCTCACTATTTTGTTATTTTAAATTTGTGCCCACTCTCCTCCACAAATAATGGGCATTGGTGGGAGAGTGTGCCCAGGCTTATGGGTGTAACATTTAATTATTGTTCTTACTCTACCTTTTGATTAAATGCTTTTCTTAAAAGTTAACAGATTGAGCTGGATGACTGTTTCATGAGAAGTACAGCAGTGTGGGCGCAGGAGACAGAGTGTTAGGAAACTAATTCCTAGAAGCTATTCCTCTAAAGAACTATAACATGCCAGTGTGGGTGAAGGCTGGTGATACAATTACCATCCCACATTTTTCTCCCCACTGCTAAACTTCTGGATTAAGGTGTCTAAACTTGATGCCTCTAATTGCTCAATACTTTCTCATGTGCTTCTTTCAATATGGCTTCTGCCCCTACCACTGTGCTGAAACTTCTGTCTTAAAGGTCAACAATGAAAATAAACAGATTAAATGGTCTTTTTCCCAGTCTTCATCTTCCTGAACTTCTCTGTAACTTTGAACAATTCTGACTACTCCACGCTGCTAGATACTCTCTCTACCCATGATGCCAGAGACACCATATTCTGCTGATTCTCTTCTTACCATTTTGGAGCATTTGTGAAAAAGCATGGGCAAGAATTGCACAGGATGAGAAGGCATTGATGTGTGTAATGTGCATCAATGGAAGAGGTGTCATCATTAATAAGGTCATGTATTCACTGAAACATGTTTTACAGAAAAATCATAAGAATAATCTATATCATCAGGTTACTAGTGTCCCAGAGCAGATGGCAGGTCTGCACCAGAAGCCTCCTGATCCTTTTACCCAGAAAAGGACTGGAGGCTAGAGGGGAGGTCTAGCCTTATACTTCTCCCCCAGAAACTGTTGGGGTGGGGCAGCTAGGTGGCACAGTGGATAGAGCACTGGCCCTGGAGTCAGGAGGACCTCACTAGCTGTGTGACAGGGCAAGGCACTTAACCCCAACTTCCTCACACACACATAAAAAAGAAAAGAAATTGTTGAGGGGTATGTAAGCTCTACTCCTCAGTTGATCCTAGCAGTCTGAGCAGAGTGAGCAGGGGAATCCCAGTTGTACAACTCCAAAAGGCATGTGCTAAAGCAGGGAAACATGAACCCTTCAGAGAGGAGACATAAACACCCTTAAATAGAGCCCGACAATAATTAAAAGAGTGAGCTGGCTGATTTTCTCCTAAGAAGTACACCAGTGTGGGCTTGGGAGATAGAGTGTTAGGAAAGTAACTCCTAGAATGCTGGGAACCTCAAATAGGGCCCAACAATATACAACGTAGAAAACTCTCAGGACCAGTAACTCAAAACAAAGGTTATGTGGCCTCTTGTCCACAAACACTTGTGTGTGTTAGGGAATGTAGATGGTGCTGGAAGGGAAGAGAGACAGGTCATAGTCAGTCATCCAGGTCACAGTCTATTCCTATGATCATCTTAAGATTCTAGAGTTGAGGAGAAAGAATTAGGGTTCAGGTTTCTGAGTCATGAGTTAAGATTCAGGTATCTGGTTCAGGAGAGGGAAAACTGCTAAACGGGGAAGTTACTGCCCAACAGACAGACAGATCTGTGGCCACAATGGTGACAGATTTTCAGGAAGCAGAGCTCACCTTGATCGTGGATAAGTGTGACTGGGCTGCCATAGTCTGACCTCCAGGGCTTCCCTCACGGGATATGGAAACCAGGGAACAAGCAGTGCTGAAGAAAGAGGAAGAAGCATAAGAGCAGCCCTGACCAAGGGCATCCCTTCTGACTCTCCAGTTCCCCCAAATATTCCAGAATGGCCCCACTTTTAATTGAAAGGACATAGTTATCAAAGCACTATGAGCACTCATGATCTGTACAACCTGTCAGCACATCATTAAAATCTACTTTGCTATGTCAGACTGCGTGTCCCATTTGTCAAAGGAGGTACACGTGAGCTCTGAATGAAGGTATGTAAAGTGCTACCAAATAAGATATCTGTACAACACAGCCTAGAGCCTGGCACGTAGGAGGAAATGAATAAATGCTTGTTCCCTTCCCTTCCAGTTGTGGAAGCAGGGAAACCTGGGTATCTGGCTAGTCCTGAGTTAAGGAGAAATAGCTTCTCCCCCATCTAGGTACACTCAACAGTTTTGAGGGGTAAAGATGGAGGTGCAGGGTAGAACAAAAAGCTCAGATAACCTATTAGATTATAAACTCTTTGGCAGCAGACTATCATATCTCCAGTGATGAATAAGTAGAAGACCTTGAGCAAAGAAGGCATCTAATATGTTTTTCAATTTGAATTTATGTAGCCTTTTTAGAATTGTGAGTAATAAAATACAATGGATTATTGTATCACAATCACAGGGACTCATTGTTCCACTATGAATGATATAAGAAAATTAAAGAAAATCAGTGTCTCCAAAGTGTTTATGCTCAGACCAGAATAACCTACTATCAACAAAATGCTTGGGGTCAATTCAAGAAAATGAATATCATCATCATCATAGTAGCTAGCACTTTAAAATTTGCCAAATGCTTTACATATTAACTCATTTGATTCTCATCCCAACCCTGGGAGGTAAATGCTAATATTAAGCCCAATTTACAAAGGAGGAAACTAAGGCTGAGAGAGCTTAAGTGACTTCTCTAGAGATACACAGCTAGTAAGTGTCCAAGGCAGAATTTGAACTCATGTCTTTCTGATCTGACAAGACCAGTGTGCTATCTATTGCACTGTCTAGATGTCTCAGGAATTTAAAGGGTAACATGTTAGTTAACAACAAACATGGGGATGAATAAGTTCATTGAATCTGAATAAGTCTACTATGCTAAAAGAATAACCAGAATATATATGATGATTACTTTAGTTAGATAAAACAACTGAATGCCACTTAAGAAGCAATGGTTTTTGTTCAATTTATTAAATTTATTTTATTTACAATTTATTGAAAACACTCCTTAAGTATATATTGGGCTAGAGTTGTAACTAAAAGAATAGACACTGATAATAACAATAGCTCACACTCATACAACATCTTAATAGTTACAAAGCTCATGCTGTGGTTGCTGGTATTACCTCCATTCTAGAAATGGGGAAATTGAGTCTTTCCCTAGGTCACACAGCACTTAAGTGTCTGAGGCAGGATATGAACCTAGGCCTTTCTAACTCCAAGTTCAGCATGTGATCCACCACTCCAAGATCATTAAATCAACTGGGATTTCTTAATTTGAAAGTTATGAGAAGAAAATATCTCTTCACAACTGTCCTACTGTTTGACAAATCCATTTTTTGTAAAGATATTTGTGACTCTCATATTAATGTATATGATATGTGTAATGAATACACTAACACTTTAGATTTCTCGGAGCTCTGATTTTGCCAGCAGATTCTGGCTCGGGTGTCAGAAATACACCTCAGCTTAAAGTATCAATCAAGAAGCTTTGACGCACTCACAATCCCTGCATTCCTATGCTCCTGAATGTTAAGTGAACCAAATAAAAGACTGTAAAGCCTGTTCTCATTACAGGACTCGGGTTCTGTGCCCCATCAAATAATCACGAGACCCAAGACTTGAGGCAATCAACTTAAAAACTGTTCCCACAGAAATAGCTGCATTGTCCATGAATGAACCTGCTGTGGGAACAGCTACTCAAGACTTGAGAATGATTATGTCATGATTCCAGCCCACTTGTGATTTAGGTATATAAACTCTGCCCTTATCTCAGAAACAGCTCTCCTCAGGAAAACTTCAGGTTTGCAAACTGCATTGCTCACTCTGAAATTAATTAATTAAACTACTACTTGATTGCTGGCACACCTGCTTCTGACTTGCTCTGTTTTGCCTCCAGCCATTTCCAGATTAGAGACTTACAGTAAAATTTTGTTGACAATCTACTCAGACTTAATTTAGCATTAGTAGTGTTGACACTCCCTCCATTTTGAATCATCCTTCCTTCTTGGCTTTTTCAAAACCATGATATTCTGGCTTTCTTCATTTTCTCCCCACTGGACAAGGAAGAGGCCCCTGAAAAGGGGGAGGAAGCAGGATTAGGCCTAGAATTTCTATTCTCTCTCTTGGCCCTGATTCCATCCTACCCAGGACTAGGATCCGGGTCCTACCAAAGAGGAAACTAAGACCCACAAATGGTAGGCACCGCAGGACCAGGGGGCAGGGCTGCCACGAGAGGATCATAGGAGTTGGAGCTGCAAGGGATTTTAGAGAACATCCAGTTCACTAGTCCCCTTCCCCCTCCCACTTCACAACTGAGGGAACTGAGACCCAGAGACGTCAGATGGCTCTCCTGAAGTCCCACAGGGGAGACTCACCCCTAGGCTCACTCTCCACTCCATAGGGAGCGGCTGGGACCATGGGAAGACCCAGCACGGCCCGTGGGGATAGATGTACTGCGCTCAGGGGACAGGGCTCCAGCATTCCTAGTGATCAGGACCAGGGCCAGCTCCACGAGGGCTGCTGTGCGCGGCTCGCCTCCCCTTTCCCCCCAGGTGCCAGAGGGTAGGTCCGGGTTCTCTGGGTTCTGCCTCCAAGACCAGCAAAGAGACTTCCCACCTAGGCCTGTCTCCCCCTTCCCAGGTGCTCCCGCAGACACCGCCCGATGCTGATGCTTTGTGTTTTCTCCTCGCTTCCCCACCCTGGGACTCACCCACTAATAGGCTCTGCCCTCAGTGGGGCGGGGAGAGATGATCTACTCCGCCCACACAGGAAGTCCCGCCTTGGCCCTCGGCCCTGCCCAATCGGATGGGAGAAATACCTAGTGCCGCTCTAGGCCACCCGGAGTATTTATCATCTCTGTGGACTCCTCTTCTGACTTCGACCCTTTACTGTGTTGGCTGCTCTTTCTCTCTCCAGAACCTAACCATTCTCCTGTACTTCCTCCTGGCCCCAAGGGACCCTGTGCTCTCCTAGGCTGTGTCAATGGAAAGCAAGCTCTGGCAAGTTCTGCCATTTTGGATAAGTTACAAGAGACACAATCTGTTTTCTGAGGCCCAGCCTTGCTAAGTAGAGGCTCAAATGCAGGAGGCTGAGCACTTGGTAATGAATTCGGCCATGGCAATCCATGAATTAATAAAAATACAAAAGCTCCCTCAATCTGTGCAGTCCCCTTCTTCTTCTACGATGATGGCAGCAGAGTGAGGGGAAAGGAAGAGAGGGTGCTAAGAATCGCATAATTTATAGATGGTTAACTTGGCTGCTAGCACTGTGAGAAATGATCCACTGACCAGTGGACCTGGTGAAATGAGGAGTTTGGACTAGACTGCCTCTAAAGAGAGTGCTGAGTGTGTATGAGTAACAGTAGATAGTTTGATAGTAGATAGTTTGGCTGGAACTTAGGATACATAAGGGAGTACAAGGCTGGAAAGGTATTGTGACACCAGTAGTTTGGAATGGGTGGCTAAGGAATTTGAACTTTCCTCAGCAGACAAGAGTGAACCTTTAAGGGGTTTTCAGTGACATAATCAAATCCATGCATTAGGCATCTGGTTTCCCCCTACTGGAAGTATTTAAACAAAGGCTAGATAATCACTGTTAGGTATATTATAGAGGGGACTCTTTTTCAGGCATGGATTAAACTAGATGGCTGTTGAGTTCCCTTCCTAATATGACATTCTATGATCTGATTAGTCTTCATAAAGTGGTATAAAGAATAAATGGGGGGAAGGCCAATTAAGAAACTATTGTAATAATCCAGGCATGTGCTAGTCATACCCTATACTTGAGATGGTGATAGTGAAAGAGAAGAGGAATGAAGTAATGCAGAAGAAGACTCAATAGAAGTTGGGAAGTGATTAGAAATGACATTTTAGAAATTGTATGATAAAATTCTTCAACCCCCTCAACCTCAATGATCTCCTCTACCCAACTGTAACCAAAATGCCAACCTCACCAGTTCTGAGAACCATTTAAGCTCTAAGAAGTCAAACTTTGAAATTCCACTCTTGCCATACCCACTTATCCTTCCTTCTCTCATGCTTTTTCATGCAAATTAAACTTAGGTAGTAGTTTGCTGGCAAATGTTTAACAACTAGTTCTCTTAAATGGTACAAGCTGGCTCCAGCACACCCCTTATTCTGACTTTTGGCCTTGGCCCATTCCTATTCTCTCAGCCTATCTCCCCCCACTCTCCCACCTTGATCTGGATTCATTTAAGTTCATACATAGCTTTGTCCTTATGGTCAAAGGTTTTATTATGTTTTATTAACAAATTAATATAGAATCTTTTGTCCTTTTGACTTTTTCCCAACTGCAAATCTTTATCCCTGGGGGATCCCCACCATTTGATTTTTCTGTTCCTGCTCTAAAGTTGCAGAATACATTTGGAGAAAATCACAAAATGAAGCTGATTTCACCTTGACAGATTAATAGTAAATAACCTCATCAGGTCCCTCACTATTGCTGCTTGACAGTCTTCTGCCCTACCTCCATCTACTTTCTCATTCCTCACAGCAATGATTCCAAATCTCTTTCCCTCTCCTGAAACCCAGACCCACTACCTCCTATATACCTGTAGCAGGCAATGTAGTCTCTGCTTCATTAAGAACAAGGTAAGCCATCCAACTATGAGCCCTCACCCTTTAGCTTTATGCCTCCATTTAACAAACATTTATTAAGCCCCTTCTATGGGCCAAGTACTGTGAACCTTCTTTGCTTCATTGCTTATTCTCTCTACTTTCTTCAGATCACAGAAGAGGAACCATCCCAACTCTACACTATGCTTAATCCTACTGCCTATAGTCCTGATCCTCTTTTCTCTCACTTCCTTAGGCACCCTGGAGTCTTCACATTCACCCTCACTCCCACACTCCTCCCACATATCACATTCACCTACCAACATAGTCATGTCTCTCTGATTCTAAAAAAAGAAACAAAACTTTTCCCTGATTCTTCTATTCCATACAACTTCTGTCCCATCATTCCCAAACTGGAAGCACCCTGGTATAATGGGAAAAGCACAGAATTTTCAGAATCAAGGAGACATTAACTTGAGTTTCATCCCTGACATTTAATAATTGCCTGACTATGTGTAAGTCATTTAACCTAATTCTTAATTTCCTCAACTGTAAAATGGGGCTAATACCTGTAGTACCTAATTTACAAGATTGTTGTGAGCTTCAAATGATTTAGATATGCAAGATATGTATATGAGCTTGCAAACCTTAAAGGGCTACGAAATGCCATTTACTAGTATGACAATTTTCATAGGAAATATGCATGTTAGGGGATCAGGAAGTGATCCTAAAGCTTTATTCATTTATATCTCACTCATTCCCCTGCTTTTATGCTATTACACATATACGTATACATATACACGTATATAAAATTATGCTGTTGCAGAATATCATATAAAAATATAATTTTTAATCATGTGATTAAATTATTAAACAATTAAGGAATTATATCTTATTTGGCCTCTAGTGACATTTTAAGAACTCATGAGTAGCCTACTCCTGCCTCCTACTTGTTCTTCTCCAAAAACAATATTTTGTGATGGTTGGCCTCCAAAGCTAATAGAGATCTAGGGATATGATCTGGAATATGTCCATTAAGTTGTCAAAATGAGGACATCTCTCTCATCTTTTCTCTGAGCCCCTATTGCTTGTCTGGACTCCTCTTTCCTCACTGATTATACCATAAAAATGAGATTTAGCAGTTAACTTCTAAATGAACATGTGATTTATTGAATGCAGTAGTGTACACATCCAAACTGTAAAAAAATGTGTTTGAATAGCAAAGATGCAAGATTTAATGTACCTTGGATCAACTTCCTTCCTGTGAAAAACTGGGGATGGGGGTGGGAGAAAGGGGGGGGGAAGGAAAGTACCTGACAATTAATCAATCAAAAAGCATTTTAAAGTATTCTCTATGTGTCAGATTCTGTGATAAGTACAGGGAATATAAAGAAAAAACAAAAACAAGAATTAGAACCAATAGGAGGAACCACCAGAAAGAGGAAACAAAACTCCACAGAAGGAAAAAAAAATGGCAAATAGTATGCTTTGATCTGCATTCAAACTCCATAGTTCTTTCTTTGGATGTGGGTAGCACTTTGCATCAGACCTTTGGAGATATCTTAGATCCTTGCATTGCTGAGAAAGGCTGTCTATCAAAGTTAGTCATCGTACAACATGGTTATTACTGTGTACAATGTTCTCCTGGTTCTGCTCATTTCACTCAGCTTCAGTCCATATACATCTTTCCAGGTTTTTCTGTAAACTTGTTTTTTTGTATATATTTCAATATAATTGGTTTAATAATAATAGTTAGAATTTATATAGTGTGTTAAGGCTTGCAAAGTGCTTTGCATATATTTTACTTATATATAAATATTATTATAATTGGTTTCCTTTGTGAGCCTATGTATTTTACTTAATGCATTTAAAAGCATTATCCTCAGAAAAGATCCATAAGCTTCATTAACAAAGGGATCCGTGACATAAAAAAATTTAAAAGCCCCTAAGTAAAAGCTAATTAAGACTGACTAATTGAAAAAGAATGATAATCATGGAAATGTGGAAGCAGACAAAGCCTCTCCTGTTCCCTCTTTCAAAAAATTTTAAAAAGCATTTAAAAATTGTCCCAGTCTACACTAATGCATTGTTGGAGTTGTGTGAACATCCAACCATTCTGGAGAGCAATTTGGAACTATGCCTAAAGGCCAATAAAACTGTACATACCTTTCGACCCAGCAATACCACTGTTAAGTAAGTCTATATCCCAATGACATCGCCAAAAGGGGAAAAGACCTATTTGTACAAAAACATTTATAGCAGCTCTTTTTGTAGTGAATAAGAATTGTAAATCAAAGGGATGCCCATCAATTAAGAAATGACTGAACAAGCTGTGGTATATGATTGTAACAGAATATTATTGTGCTATAAGAAATGACAAGCAGGGTGATTTCAGAAAAACCTGGAAAGACTTACATGAACTGACGCATAGTGAAGTGAACAGAACCAGGAGAACGTTCTGCACAGTAACAGCAATATTGTTCGATGAAAAACTGTGAATGATTTAGCGATTCCCAGCAATACAATGATCCAAGACAATCCCAAAGGTCTAACGATGAAACATACTATCTGCGTCCAGAGAAAGAACTGATATTGACTGAATACGGACTGAAACATGCTATTTTTCACTTTCTTTCTTTCCCTTTCTTTTCTTTTCTTCTAGTCTTCTTGTACAAAATGACTAATATGGAAATGTTTTACGTAATTGCACATATATAACCTATATCTGATTGCTTACTGTCTCAGGAACGGGGAGGGGAGGGAGGGAGGAATAGAATTTGGAATTCAAAACTTTAGATAAAAATGTTATTCAAAATTGAAAAGAAAAAAATTATCCCAGTCTGATGCCTTTAGTCTATTCCAAAAGAGAAACCCTCATCATTTCGAGATGACAGAATCTGTAGGGACCACTCTAGGCAAAAAGGGGGGGACTCGCAGTCTCTATGGTTTATGCTCCTGTTATATTGTAGAGTGGAAAGGCGAGAATCCTGCCTACACTTCTGGTCAGAGCCCCTTTCCGTGGGGTGGAACTTCCGGGCAGGATGGTCTGGCTCCGTGGGGGCTGTCTAGCCGGGCCGCACTGTGGAGGGTGAGTCCGG